TAAGAGAAACATACTGACGCTGATATTACGTCAAACGGTATTACGTGATTACAACAGCGTTCCTGGAGACCGTCGTTTGCACACAAAAAAAGAGGATTCTTTGTTCTATCCTCCGTCGCTTTAATGCCTCGACAGAAGCTTCCGAAAGCTATATAAATAATGCTCGGAGCAGACAGATACGGGATAGATATGTATTACGTAGTGTAAGGGTGGGAGACCATGCGACCAACACTTGGAAACTCATAGATCACGGATCGCGGATAAGCTTGTAACGTTGCATCGATGTGCCGCGCGGCGATGACCTAATGCCCTACTTACATCTGCCTAGGTAAATCATGTCTTTGTGTGAATCAATTTGCAGCTTCGTGACGTACGCAGTTTTCACGGCAGTGGGCAATTTTTCGCGTTAATTTCGCTCAGACCGTAAGAAAGGCGTTAACGTCGAAAATTACACAACGGAAAGTCGCGCAATAATAATTCAAAGACTTAAACTTCAAATCGCCGACAAATCAACGTTCGATTTTGTTGAGAAATGTACACCTGCATAATAATATCCCCCGAGAATATACCCGTGTAGCGCGCGCGACTGCGATATCTCGTTACATAAGCGTGCGCCGAAGGTCCTCTACTTATGTTAACTATTTTCCACAGGCGAAAGTTGCTGCCTAAAGTATGTATTGTTTATCGCCATCGCGCGCCGGCATCACCGTGACGCACCGAAAAATATATCGTTCGCGTGACGACTTACGATGCGTAAAATTAAAAGAAAAGCAAAAAAAAAAAACCCCTGACCATTTCACTCGCGGCGACTTCGGCGTTTCTCTAGATCACGCCGCTTTTCCTCGGGTAGGCGCTAATGTATGCAGCTTGAAATCAATATTTCACGTTGTATCCAAGGCACATAGCGTATCTCGAAGGTGACCATAGTTCTCGCTTACTTTTATCTTGACACGTAGACTTACGTGTTCAGCCAATTTGATTAAACTTGCTCCAGCGAGCGCGTTACAAATAGAGAAAAATATATAGACATGTAAGATATTGGATTCTCCTTCTTTCTCAAGAATATATTTCCAATTTTAAGTCCATCTCTTTACCGTCACCTTCATTTCCCTTTTCTATTCCATTCATACATTTTTTTTAAGTGTAATTGATGGAAGTCTGCAGCTTTCAAAACTAGAATTTCTGAAAACATTTAAAAGAATTTTAACAATTAACACTTAAAATGATGAAATAAAAATGAAAAAAATAAGGATTGTATTTAATTTTCATGAAATTTCTGGACAGTATCTTAAGTAAAATATGAAATATTTATTTTTTATGATAATCTTACTTTTACATGTACAATGACAATAAAAACAGGCTTACACATAAAAAAAGAGTACGAGAATAAATAATCTTTGCAATTATATTTGATAAATCTCTTCCGTGTACTCTAAACGTAATTTGATAACTACACGTTATCCTACAGAATGGTGGACGAGTAGGCAGGAAGATATGTATGAACGTATGGTATTCGTCCTTGCATCTCTCCGTCGCTGCACGACGGCCTTGGTTTTAATCTCAAGCAGCAGATACATCCCACTCGCCAAATATGTCTTCCTCTCTCCGCCCATCCATCTCTGTCTCTCTATTTTTAATATGTTTGCCCTTGTAACTGAAATTCTCGTACGATACAGGATACCTATAGTCTTCGGATTCACCGATTCCTTTAAAGAGAGTCGGGGCCGTACTCTTTTTCCAGGTTACGGCAAAACCCACAAAGACGCTGCCAGCGTTCGCACAACGCACTCGATACCGGCTGCCTGCGGCCTGTACTACTTCGAGGTGAAGATCGTGAGCAAGGGACGCGACGGTTACATGGGCATCGGCCTCTCGGCCTCAGGCGTCAACGTAAATAGACTTCCCGGTTGGGACAAGCATTCATACGGTTACCACGGCGACGACGGCCACAGTTTCTGCTCAAGTGGCACCGGGCAACCTTACGGACCGACCTTCACCACCGGCGACGTGATCGGCTGCGGTGTAAATCTCGTTGACAACACCGCCTTCTACACGAAGAATGGCCATCACTTGGGCATCGCCTTCACGGACCTTCCTGTAAGCCATTCACCGCATCAATAATATAAACGGAAGAAAAAAAAATAGTGCTTTGTTCCGAAAGGGACAGTCGCGGGTAAAAAACGGAGAAAAGGGGATCAAATGTCCTAAATCCCATGAGAACACGGGCAATTTCTCTCTTTCTCTCCGCACCTTTCTCATTCTTTCATTTTCAGTTATATATATTATACATTAATTTCTTCCCTCTGTTTCCCTCTTTTTTCATATCTTTTCTTCGCGCACGAGAACTTATTTGTATATTATTTATCAAGATCTTTGACAAACTTCACAAATACAGGTCTCAAATCATTTCGTAATAAAAAGTATAGATTTTAGAATTTTCCTGATATTGATAAAGTGGCGGAAATTGATGTATATTACCGAATCGTGTATCATTCGTGTATTAGATATGATGGAGCGAAATTCTACCTAAAATTCGCTTTCGCAGCCCAATCTCTTTCCGACGGTCGGTCTGCAGACTCCAGGCGAGGTGGTGGACGCAAACTTCGGACAGTTGCCGTTTGTCTTCGACATCGGGGACATGATCAACGAACTGCGCGTACGAACGAGATTACAGATCATAAACTATCCCACGCCAGACCACGGCCAGGGGCAGTGGCAGGCGATTCTTCACAGGTACATATACGACCAGAAAGCGAGACGGGGACCGGGTGCGTGATTCCACTCCCTTCGTGGTTGCTTTTGCTCCTCCTTCGTTTGTCATTGTTGTCCGTTAAGATCCTCCTTGATTTGCGAGAGTTCTTCCCAAACGCTTGCGCGGATAAATCGAGGAAGTTAGCGGGGAAAAAAATCGCCACGGACCAATGTTCGCGGTATCTCTCGAGAGTTAACGAAGCTATGTACGAATTCGACAGAATGGTGTGTACGTATCTCGTCCATCATGGGTATCTCGACAGCGCCGAGGCATTCGCCAGCAGCACGGGTCAGGTGTTCGAGGAGGATTACAACTCGATCAAAAATCGACAGAGTAGGTATTTGCTCGTCGTCGCCCATTCGTCGGGGTTGTCACTCTTCCGAAAGCAGCTGAAACACCAAGAGAGAATAATAAATAAATGTGAAGAAGTTACAAATATATGATACAAGTACTTATTGCACTTAGAAATTTGAGGAAGAATGATGACTCCGCTCGTCGATTATTAAGCTTGCATTTTTACACTGTGATTCGACAATGATTTACAGGGGTTATAAAGTTGATATTGTCTGGTCGTATCGGTGAAGCGATAGACACGACAAATCGGTTATACCCTGGTCTTCTCGACCGGGATCCGGACCTGCTGTTCGCGCTCAAGTGTCGCCAATTCGTGGAAATGGTGAACGGCAGCGACTCGGAGGTCTGTCAGAACGGCAACCCCAATCAGACCAGTGTGATACAATCGACCAAAGCGTACGTGAAGTCCGCAAACCCGGCCGGTACCGTGGAAGAGATGAATATCAATAATACGATAAACGGCACCAGCCCACAGTTCGTCAACGGTCAGATAGAAGATGACGTAGAAATGGAGGAAAGCAGCGTCACCGGCGTGAACGGTATCAAGAACAGTAACGGGTATCAGAATGGTAATCTGGACTCGAATGGGTACAAGTGTCAAAATGGGGAAGATGTAGATATGGGTGAGATCTCAATATAGTTGATATCACCAATAGTTTGAGAATAGATTATCTTCTAGATAAAACTAGATAAAATTAAATCAATGTCTTACGAATTAGACAGTAGATGAACGAAAATAACGAGTGAGATAGTTAAATAAATTTATAGATTTAACGTTGTTGAATATAGATGCGCGTAATAAGTTTAATTATGGTCCTTTATAAATTGTCTAATAAATGGCCCGTTTGTCTACTGTCGGTTTACATTTATCGAATAGAACGTAGTTCTTAGAATAGACAAATATTTGCAGAAATCGACAACAGTGCCAATCAGAGTCAGCAGCAGAGCAGTAACATCGCCGATGTGACTGTGACATGTAACAAAAGCAACAAGAAGCAATTGTGCGGTGGTAACAAGCAGGCGATCGAGAAAATGTTGGAATTCGGCAAACAGTTGTACTCGCAGTCGGTGCATCTGAGACAGCAGTACGGAAAGAACGAGAGCAATAAGAAGATGCTGCAGGACGCTTTCAGTTTGTTAGCGTACTCCAATCCGTGGAATTCGCCAGTTGGCTGGCAACTGAATCCTCAAGAAAGAGAAACGGTCTGCGCCAGACTGAATTCTGCTATTCTTGGTAAGAGAACAAGCATGTTTTCGCAATGACGTGAAAAAAAAAAGACGGTATGTTTGACGTCTGTGGACCAAATTGCTCTGCAAGAAGAAATGAAATGAAATTACTTTTAAATTTGTTGTCATTAATTAATGATTTTATTTTATTATCTTATTATTTATTTGTATGCTTTTTAAATTCTATTCCATCACTCAACTACGAGCAATTTGAGTTCGAGCAATTACGGCAATTCTCGAGGATTGAATCAGAATTTTGATTGTCAATGTAATTGACAATGATTGTCAATCTAACGTTGCGATTATTATGATTAACAGAGTCTAGTAACTTATCCCGTCGGCCGCCGTTGGAAGTCGCAGCATCCCATGCTAGGGAGCTCGTTCGCTTGATGTCGGCTAATGGCCTAGGGGCCTGCGGATTTGCAGTAGTAGATAATATTATCCAATATTGACGGTGCCTACCTCTGCTGCCACGTCCGCCTCTTCTACCAGTGCGAGTATGGTGAGTAATATTCGTTTGCATTCGCGCGAACAAGATCGCGAAATCACCCGGATTGATTTATCGAAAAATCGTACGCTCGCATATCTATCTCTACCGAGAATGAGGCATGTACGAATGATTGACGATAAGAGCCGGTCGATCTAAAGAAGAGGAGAAGTAACGCGAGTTTTATAATTCCCGTATTAATGAGATTTAGTTTGATCAAAGAACAATATGTCGTGAAAAATCTCTCGAAATAAAT